AATACTGTTCCTGGATTAAGCCTCCATTTCTCATTTGTTTCTTTGTCAGGTAAAAGGACCAGGAATTGGGCTGCTTGGGATTTCCAAAGGGGGAGAACTTGGCCTTGCTATGGCCTCCTTCCTGAAGGGCGTCAAAGCTGCCGTGATCATCAATGGCTCTGTGGCTGCTGTTGGGAACACCATCTACTACAAGGATGAGACCATCCCCCCTGTGACTATCCTGAGAAATCGCGTCAAAATGACCAAAGATGGTGTCCTGGATGTTGTGGATGCTCTGGAGAGCCCTTTGGTAGAGGAGAAGAGCTTCATCCCCGTGGAGAGGTCTGACACGACCTTCCTGTTCCTAGTAGGGCAGGATGACCACAACTGGAAGAGCGAGTTCTATGCGGATGAGATCTCTAAACGCTTGCAGGCCCACGGGAAGGAGAAGCCCCAGGTCATCTGCTACCCGGAAGCTGGCCATTACCTTGAGCCCCCTTATTTCCCACTGTTCAACGCTGGCATGCACCAGCTGGTGGGCACGAACATCCTCTTTGGAGGGGAGCCTAAGCCCCACGCCATGGCCCAGGTGGACGCATGGCAGCAGCTGCAGACTTTCTTCCACAAACAGTTGGGTAGTAAGAGTTAGGGGGCCTCCTAACATGCAACCCCTCATCTGCTGGTTTTGGAGAACCTCAAATACAGTATCAGAATGTCAGTTCAGGTTAGTTTATCTGAACATATTCTAATTCTTCTAAGTCTTTCTTTCTTTCTTTCAAGCCTTTTTTGTTTTGTTTTGTTTTTTGAGACAGAGTTTCTCTGTGTAGCCCAGGCTGGCCTCGAACCCACGTAGATCTGCCTGCCACTGTCTCCCATGTGCTGGGACTAAAGTAAAGTTGGGTACCACCAGACCCAGCTTAAGTTCTTCTTCTTTTTTTAATATAATAAAATAAGTGCCTGTAAAGGACTGAGGAGAGAACTTAGTGGTAACAGATTTGTCCTTCTTTCATGGTGCCCTGAGTTCACTTCCCACTGCCGTAAGACAACAAGGAAATTAAGACTTTGCTGTAAAAATAGTGCCTATTGAGCTGGTGAGATCACACAGTGAGTAAGTGTGCTTTCTGCCAACCCTGACAACTTGGGATTTTTCCCCTCCTCAGGATCCACATGGTGGAAGGACAGATCCAACTCTGACAAGTTGTACACATACAGACACACACACACAAATACAATGTAATTTAAAAATAGTGCCTATCTAAAAAAGAGTTATTTTATATCCTGAATCAAAATGTATAATTATAAACATTCTTATTAAAATAAAAATTAAATAATTATAGACAAAACTATGGTGTCCTTTCAATTCTTAAGCCAGTGTTGCGACTATCATCTTCCATCAAAAAGTGGCTTTGGGGTAACATGGGGCCTCTTTTCAGATGCTTACTACATGCATAGACATCAGTGAAAAGAAAGATTTTTTTTGGCTACACATATCCACCAAGAACATGAATTTTTTTATATTTTTTTATTATTGTTTATTATTATTAGTTACATTTTATTAACTCTGTATCCCAGCTGTATCCCGTTCCCTTATTCCCTCCCAACCCACCCTCCCTCCCTCAGCTTCTCCCTGCCCCTTTCCAAGTCCACAGATTCGGGAGGATCTCCTCCCCTTTCGTCTGGCCCTGTTTTATCAGGTATCTTCAGGACTGGCTAAGTCCTCCTCTGTGGCCTAGCAGGACTGCTCCTCCCTTGGGGGATGGGGAGGTCAAAGAGCCTGCCATTGAGTTCCTGTCAGAGATAGCCCCTGTTCCCCATACTATGGGAAACCAATTAGTTATTGAGCTAAAAATATGGAACGCTTCAGGAATTTGCGTGTCAGCCTTGCGCAGGGGCCATGCTAATCTTCTCTGTATCGTTCCAATTTTAGTACATGTGCTGCCGAAGCGAGCACAAGAATATGAATTTTACAAACAATTTTTTCCCCCACACATATCTAACAAGAACATCAATTTTACAAAGCAAACCAAGGATGGGAAAAGAGCCCCTCTTCATGTGATGCGCTCTGTGTCACAGTGACACATGGGGACGATGAGCATTTAGTCTGGGAAGCAACAGAGCATCTGGGGAAGGAAACAAAGTTTTCAGGAATCCCATGTTGTATCAACCTTCAAACCTGACTGTGAGGCAAGGAAGAGAAAGCGTGAGGAAACGCTCTCATCCCCACACTGGCCGCAGCAATCTGCCAGTCAGCTATTGCTCATATGGGCACAGGAGGAAGGACTTCTTTGCCCATTGCCAGAGTCATGGATGAGCCCCTGTAACACAAGACAGGCAGTTAAGACAAAGCCATAGAAACCTATTCAGATTTTTATTTATTTACTTATTTATTTACAGTCACACGTGTGTCTGTGCGTGTCTGTGTCGGTGTCCACCAAGGCCAGAAGATTTCAGCTCTCCTGGAGCTGCCGTCACGGGGAGTCCTGAGTCACCCAACACGGGTGCTGGGAACTAAACTTGGGTCCTCTGTGAGAGCAGTGCATGCTCTGAACTGCTGATGTCTCCAGCCTCAGAAACTCGTTTAATGAGACGATTCGGTGGGAAAAGGTACTGGCGACTTAAGCCTGAAAACCTGAGTTCAACCTCTGGAGCCCACATGGTATAGGAGAGCACTGACTCCTGCAAATTGTCCTTTGACCTCCACATGAGTGTCCCGGCACACACCTGCCTCCCCCCCACCATATATAAATAAATAATTTAAAAACTTTTCAAGTGTGGCGTAGCACAAGAGCCTTCAGAATCTAAGACCCGGGTGTGGAGGATGGCTCGGTTAAGAGAGCACCGAGCATGCGCCAGTGCCCAGGCAGAGCGTGAGTTACCACATAGCCAATCCACTGTGTGTTCTGCTTCCGGATCCTGCCCTGAGTTCCTGCTTCCGGGTCCTGCCTTGAGTTCCCTTCTGACTTCCCTCTGTGCTGGACTGTGGTCTGGAAATGTCACCTAAAGAGTCTTTCCCCGCTAAGTTGTTTTTCGGTCATAGTAGTTGTCACAGTGACAAAATAAAACTAGAACATTAGTTGCCAGAAGCTGGGAAGGTTAGTGGGGGAAGGGCACGAGGAGGCTCTGCTTATGGGAACTGTAATATAGGAAGTCTAGATTCTTGGATTCTGAAGCACAGTGGAGTGACAATAGTTTATTGTACAGATGCTCTTTTTTTTTTTTTTTCCTTTTTGGTGCTGGAGATAGCATTTTTGTTCTTTTATGTGTATAGATGTTTTACCTGCATGCATGTCTGTGTACCAGCCCCATGCCTGGGTATCAGTGAAGGGCAGAAAGGGCGTTGCGTCCCCTGGAACTTGACTTACAGATGATGGTAAGCTGTAATGTGGGTGCTGGGAATTGAACCCTGATCCTCTGGGAGAGCAGCCAGTGTACTTAACCACTGAGCCATCTCTCTATTCTTTATGCTGGAGACCAAACCCAACTCAAGCAAAGCACAGAATCTGCCATCATACCCTTGTAGTGGTTTGAATAAGAATGGCCTCCACAGGCTCATAAATTTGAATGTTTAGTCATCAGAGAGTGGCACTGCTTGAGAAGGATTAGGAGGTGTGGCCTTGTCAGGGGAAGTGTGTCACTGGGGTTGGGCTTTGAGGTTTTAAAAGCTCAAGCCAGGCCCTGTGCCTCTTCTCATCTTCCTGCTGCTTGAAATTCCAGGTGTGTAACTCTCAGCTACTTCTCCAGTACCACATCTGCCTGCGTGCCACGATGATAATGGAATAAAGCCTCTGGAACTGTAAGCCCCAATTAAACATGCTCTATAAGAATTGCTGTTGCCCTTCATCTGGTGCGATTGTCCGATGACCTCGATTCAGTGTAACTCTCAGACTTGCCATCATGTGGGCCCTTACAGTCCCAGCTTCGTTCTCCGATGGTGCCTTCCCTTGGAGTTGTTTGTACCTGATTCTGTTATCAGTTCTCATCCAAATCCAGTGGGGAGTAGGACCATTTTGCTTCTGTTTCTTGGCCAAGAATTGCTGATTCTGAAAGCCTATGAGAGGCCAGGTCCGGAGTATGATGTGCAGTGGCAGAGACCCCAGCAGGAAGAACACGAGTAGAAGGATTTTGAATACTTTCAACACAGAGAAATGATAAATATTTGCAGTAAAATAAAGCAACAGTTACATTACAGACACTGTGGGTATGTACCTAGTAAATAATCAGAGGCATTATATAGCAAAAAGAATGCAAATCCAGTGGGTGGGATGGCGCATGCCTTTAATCTCTGCCCCTGAGCAGGCATGGTGGCTCACACCTTAATACCAGCACTGGGGAGGTAGAGGCAGGTGGGTCTCTGTTAGTTTGAGACCAGCCTGGTCTACAAATTGTGTTCCAGGACAGCCAGGACTATGTAGAGAGAGACTGTCTCAAAAAAAAAAAAAAAAATTAAAAGAAAAAAGAATGTAGGCCTAAGTTAATTTAATTAAATTTGTGGGTTCCTCAGTGAAGGAATCAGAAACAATCAGTGTAACTCCTTCATGGATGACGAGAGGCAGGAGCAGAATGAGAAACTGAGAAAAGCTAAGTGGATGTCTGTGTCTCATTGGTCATGCGAGTGCCAGATACTTCGTGATTTCTTGGTTGAAGGATATTAGAAATCCTCAATGTAACAGCAGCAGAGTCGGGAAACGTAAGAAGGGGCGGCTCCTGTACCCACGTGTTCGCATAACCATGAGTGCTCCAACCCAAGACACACATACACACACAGACAAAACACATCTTAAAAAAAAAAGTCTGAGTTCTGAAAAGCAGTGGAATGTGTCACCTTCAGTCAGATGACCGGTGGGGGAAGGGAGGAGGGGAAGGGGGGAGGGGGGAGGCTGCCCTTTCTAGAAAAAAAGAACCTGTCTAGGGACATATTATGAAGATTGTGGTAACTTTCACTCACTGATTGATAACAATAAGTTAGTTGGTTTTGAGGCCTGGGAGAAAATAAAGGTGTTTTTTCCTTGCTGTTTTGCTTTTTAATTTATTTCTGCCCAGGCAGGTGGACCTGGCCATGCTGTTAGGTGTCTAACCCGAAAGGCTCACCCGAAAGGACAGTTTTGTGCTAACATCAGTTAGGAAACCTCGACAGACACTTCCCTTTTCCTTTCTTCATTTGCACTGGATGCTTAGAATGCCCTTCTGAGGCAGCATACTTGAGGAGACGATCTGAAAGTTCAGCTTTGTCTGTTTGGTGGGAAAAGACGAGAGGCGTCTCTCAGTGGAGCCTCCAGACTGAAATCCGTTCTCTGCTAGTGCCGAATGGGGCGTGGGGTCTTTCCCCAGAGACTGACCAAGCTGGAAAGGTGTGTTCCCGGGCTGCAGGTTCAAGCAGAACTTTGTACTGCATGACTGCCAAAGGAGCCTCATCTAAATTCGAGAAGAGAAGTGAGCTTTGGCAAGGCAAGCGCAGATCCAAATCTTTCTCCATCAGCCCGAAGGCAGAGGGCTTGGGATGGTAGAACCCCGGTAATGTTAGAGAAGATCTACCTGAGGAGAATATGTAGAGCTAACGAGAGAGCTGAAGAGATACAGGACAAGCGCAACGTGTTTCCTGACCGCTCTTCTAGCTTTACAGAAAGAACAGGGGAAGCGGGGAACACAGGCTCTGAGCATCAATGAGCCTCATCCACACCACATTCGTCAGCTCTCTACTCCCACAGGAAGCAGAAGGGCACATTTGTTTAGTCCCTCTCCATTAGTCACGTCAGAGTGACAAGGAGGAGGGGACATGCAGGTGGAGGCTCCCAGAGCAGCTGAGGGGCAGGTGCGCTGGGAAGCGGCCCAGTGGCCATGTGGGATGTCCAGGGCCACACACAGCTTGACTCTGGGAATGCTAGGCTGCACGAACCATCAGGGTGAAGGCAGAAGGACAGACTGATGAGACTGAGTTGGGAGGGAGAGTCTTACAGGGGCTCTCCTGGAGTGGGGATTAAGAGCCAGTCCTGAAGATACCTGATAAAACAGGATCAGATGAATGGGGAGGAGGTCCCCCCAATCAGTGGACTTGGCAAGGGGCACGGTGGAGAGGAGGGAGGGAGGGAGGGACTGGGAGGGAATGAGGGATCAGGACACGGCTGGGGTACAGAGTAATAAAATGTAACTGATAAGAAAAAAATAAAATACAAAAAAAAAAAAGAGCCTGACTTTCATCTGATGGCCAGGGAGGTCACCAGGGCCCTGGTTCTAGGAGCTGTGGGAACAGCTACAGTGCAGGGATCAGGAGTGACCAAGAGAGGCCTTTAAATCAGCATGAGGGGGCTGTCCCATCGCCCAGCTTTCCTCTTCACTAATGAAAAGA